TTCTACATCCATCCAGGTGTCTCAGTCTGAACACTGGACCTGGTTCTGTTCATTTCTTCTCTAACTAAACATCAGCATCAGTTCCGTGCTCCACAGTGGGGATGGAGTTTTTCAGCCCTCAACCTTCCATGTGTTTGTCTGCTGTGCTTGTGAAGGTACGAGCTTCAGAAATGACCACAGTCACAGTATGAAGGTCAAACTTTGCACAGCTTCATTACAAAAGCTGTTGCAGCTTAAGAACCAGCTGGTTCTGAGGAGGTCATGGGGGAACATTTCCAGATTTGGTTGATTTTGTATGTAAATATCCACAAATCAACAATCCTAAACACAACAAGCTGAAAGTCGATCATCTCCACGTCACTCGCAGCAGCATCTCTCCTCCTCGCCTTCATATAGAAAATAGAACACTATATTTTACAAGAGGACTAAGAGAACAGAACATCTATTATCTTACAGGAACAGCGTACAGGCAAACTATGTACAGCAAACGTGAACCTGCCGGCTCGAGGTTCTGAGCGGTCTGACAGCGAACACTGCTGGAACATCTGGATCAGAACGATCCCTCACGGAGCCGCTAAGAACTCTGCAGGTAAGTTCACCTTCAACATTTTCCTGTCAATCAAAGGCCAAACTTTTGTCTCTGGTGAACTTGTCTAAATTCGGAGGTCAGCAGGTCTGAATCCTTCTCAGCCAGCAGCAGCCCGACGGACCTGCACGGCGGCTGATTGACTCGTGTGGGTGCAGATCAGCTCTGCAGTCTGGAACAACGTTCTCTACAAGAAGTGATCGGATCAGAACTAATTGTCTACTATTGTCAATTTCCTTCTGAATGCATTGCTTGTGTATAAAATACCAGATAGAGATAGTGACGAGTCACGTCCTCTCAAAGCCTAAAATTGACTTTATTGTCTTTACAGATGGAGGAACACTGCTGTTGAACTGACCCGGTTCTGTGGTGGATCAGGTCTGGTCCGGTGTGCAGTGTTCGGTCAGACGCCCTCCTCGGCGGCGGCTTGTTAAGTGCTATGAGAATGATGAAGTGCTTTAGAATGAGGTACACTACAAACAAACTCCTGAGTCCGACTCATCACTGGGTCGCGTCTCGTGGACCTTCAGGAGGAAGTCGGGAATCGTGTCCGTGAGTGCGTCCGTGAAGTCCTGCTGCTGGAGGCTTCAGGTCGCTGTTCTGCCGGAGGTGACGGTGATGGAGGCGAAGGTGACCGTGAGTTTCTGGTGATGGTGGACTGCACTCTACCACAATACGACAGCAGGAAGAAGACAGGAAGTGGAGGGTTGCAGAGGTGACGGTGGAAAGAAAAGCAAAGAAGCGTTATTCACACCAGCAGCCATCATGACTGCAGAGCGTTCAGCGCTGAGTTTACAGAGTCCGTCTGGCCCTCCTCCTCCTCTTCCGCTTCCTCTTCCTCGTCCTCTGGGTGTAGGGGGCCGTTGTGCTGGCCCTGCCTGCCTGAGCCTGCGCTGTCCCTGGGCACGGCGGCACTCCCAGCCCCAGGCTTCCCTGGGCCTCTGGAGGTCCGATGTCCGTTTGATGGAGACAGGCTGCGGCCCCTCCCCTTTTCCTGAGCGTCGCTGTCGGTCTTGTTGTCAGTCTTCCTTTCCAAACACTTCCTGCTCTTCTGCCTCCCATCCTCCTCCTCCTCCTCCTCCTCCTCCTCCTCCTCATCATCATCATCATCATCAGAGTCGATCCGGTTGAGTCTTTTGCGGACCGGGCGGTCTTCCTCTGAGGACGACTCCGATTCATCCGACTCGTCCTCTTCGTCCGTCGAAGGTCGCCGTTTCTTCAGCATCTGAGCGAGGCGCTTGCGGCGCTGCTGCGACAGCATCTCCCTCCTCTTTCCTCGGCCCATCTTCTCCGGGTCTTCATCTTCCCGGTCCGTTCTCTTTAACCTCCTCCGTCGGTCTGCATCCTCCTCCGACAGCTTTCTCTTCAGCCGCCGGCCTCGTTCTCCGTCGTCCTCCTCGTCTTCGTACCTCCTTCGCTTCCCTCTCGTCCGGTTTCTGCGGAGGTCTTCGTCGTCTCTCCTCCTCCGGTTCACTCTCCGTCTGTGGTCATCCTCCTCTTCGTCTTCATAATCATCCTCCTCCTCCGAGTCTCTGGAGGAAGGTGAAGCTAAAGGAAAAACAAAGACATGAATTCACTATCTGCCCAAAACCATCAAGAAAATGTGTAAAAGGAGAACAAAATTGACAAAAAGACCCTGCTGACAAGAAGCATCCACACCGTGCTTCACGTCATGACGCTGCCACCACCGTGCTTCATCATGATGCTGCCACCACCGTGCTTCACGTCATGACGCTGCCACCACCGTGCTTCATCATGATGCTGCCACCATCGTGCTTCATCATGATGCTGCCACCACCGTGCTTCATCATGACGCTGCCACCGCCGTGCTTCGTGGTGGGGATGATGTGTTTGTGATGATCTGCAGTGTTTGGTTACCACCAAACATGGTATCTAGTCTGATGGACAAAAAGCTCTATGCTGGTCTCAGCAGACCAAAGAACCTTTGTTGGGGTCTGACTGATTTTTCTCGTGGTAACTAACCGTCGCTGTAGTCGCTGGATAGATGTTCCTTGCGTGGTCGACCGCGGGGTTTGGGCTTCTCCTGTCGGGTTGACGTCCTGGAGTTGTCTGAAGACTCGGACGTCTCGCGGTAGTTGACCTGCTGGCGCTGTCCCCGCCTCAGGCCCCGCCTCTTATTGTCGGCGTCGCTGTCAGTCATGTCGCTGAACTGATCCGAGTCTGAGGAGGAAACAGAGGCTTGTGTTTTATATTACTGAGGATCTTTGGGTTCTGGATTGTTCACAAGTGATGTTGGACTCTGGGAGGTTTAATCAGCACTTTTTTTTACCATTTTAAAATCATTTATTTGTGACCTAAAGGCTGACAGTCGTATTATGTTTTTAGCAGTGATTAAACACAGACGCAGATTTCAGAGTCCAGGACGAAGCAAGTTCAACTAAGCCGGGCTTTGTTAGTGTTAACCAGTAGAACAAAACCTAAAACAGCCGTCAGAGGTCGCAGACGGATCAGCGTGAGTCACTCCAGGCAGCAATGAAATCAAATGGCTTCGCAGGTTTGTCGAGGGTCAGAAATAGAAAAGTTTCCAGGTCTGAAAACACCTGAAATCCTTTCAACTGAGCGTGTTGTGTAAGCCGTCCGGACTCACCCATCTCTTCGTCGCTGTCCTCCTCCTCTTCTTCAGAGGAGCGTCTTCGCCGCCGTCTCAGCCTCTTCCTGCCTCTTCGTTGGGTTTTGTTTGGTTTGTGTTTGGGCGCCGCCTTCAGCGCCCGGCGGGGGCGTGTCCCGCTGTCCCAGCTGCCCACATCGCTGCCGCCATCTTCTTCCTCCTCCTCGTCATCGTCGGCCCCTGAGGCGCCGAAATCTTCATCCTCCGAGCTGCAGGAAGAGAAGAAGTCAGAGAGCGAACAGAGACGAAGCAGAACAACAGAACCCTGGTACCTGTTGCTGATCATGAACTCGTCTTCGCTCTCCGCCGCCGTGCTGTCGCTCTCCAGGTCGTTCAGTCTCCGCCTCTTCCTGCTCCTGGCAGCGTGACTCTGGCTTCTGATTGGCCGCTGGCTCTCCTTCCCGTCCTCTGACAGGATGGCAGTGATGTCTTTGCCCCGCCCAGTTCCTGCATCACAATAATCCAGATGAGAGTCGAGCTAAAGGCTCCATGTTGTTCCCTTTTCAGTAAATGAATCAAAGTCTCTCAGAATATTTCTTTCAGTGGTTCAGTCAGAGATGCTTCATTCGTCCGTGACTCAATGATCTGGTTCTGGTTGTAACCCATCCAGTCCTGCTCTCAAACACTCGTCTGTCAATCGCAGACTGAGTCACGACGAAGTCATGAAATGGAAATCTCAACATGTCCTTCAAAAGTGGAGCCTCTGTTAGCGACAGCTCAGTCAGAAAAGCAGAAATGTTTGCTGCTGCAGAGTGAGACTATAGATGTAGTGAAACACACGGTAGCTGATGGACAAAGTGCTTCATTAGCATGAATACATTCATTTAGGAAGGTGTGAAAAAATAAAGAAAAAATAAGCTAAATGAAATGTATGAAGTGGAAGAAAGACGAGCAGACCTCCACACAGGTCCCTGAAGTCTTCTTCTATCGCCTCATCAATGGCATCATCAAAGTCATCGAACCTGCACAGAAGCAACACGTCCATGTGGTTAGCCGCTGAGCAGCATCAGCTCCATCAGAACCACTGCTGCTCATCTCATGATACAACAACAAGGCAGAGGTGCTCAAACACAACCAACAGGTCATCATGAAACCCACTCTACAGACGACAGCGTGTCTCCAGCGTTGCTGTAATACTTCAGCATGACTTCTTACTTTTCTGTTCCTTTACCTGCTGTTCTATGACTGCATTCATTCTCTTACTGACAGGAGAGCGTCCTGCTTTCTGGAGCTCAGTGCGTTCACACACCTGTAGCTGATGTGTTTCCTGGTTCTGGTCGATCTCCTCCCCAGATTTTTGCTCTTTTTAGGATCTTTCTTCTTGGTGGACTTCTCCTCCTCCTCCTCGTCTCCCTCCTGAGACACAAAGCAGAATTACTTGATGTCAGTCAGTGAAGTCTGAGGCTGCTGAGCTGCAGGTTTGTGGCGGCGTGCTCACAGGAATGATGTTCTCCACGCTGATTCCTACGTACACCAGCCGCTCCCTCCTGCACAGAACACACCACACCATTCAGATTTTCAGCCTGAAATGTGACCACAGTGTCTGCTGGTGTTTTTCTGACGTTACCTCCTCTCTGCTCGCTCTTTCTTCTTCAGAGCGCTGTCCAGGTTCTGCAGCTGCTCCTCCAGTTTCTCACACAGCAGCTTCTGGAGGGACAAAACAGAACCAGCACCAGTCAGATTGACTCTGTGACCTGCAGCACGTCAGGGATCTCTGACTTCTTTGAACATGTCTGAGTTGAAGGTTCTGGTGTCGGCTCTGAAACCTACATGCTGGCATGGTGGACAGAACCACTCTCCATCTGGGATCAGCATGAGCGGCGGTCTCAGACAGGCGGTGTGATAGCCGCTGTCACAGGAGTCACAGAGCAGGATCTGAGGAAACAGAAGGACGGCGTTTAAACCCAGTCCAGACCCGGTCACCAGAGCCCACCAACACTCAGGGTTCTCCTTTCACTGCCTTTCAACACTGAATCACTTTCATTTGGCTTTTTTCTTTTTTATAAAAAGATTCTTTGATGTCAAACTGAAAACAGACTTTTACAAATGAAACATGTAAAACGAACTCAAAGGGACTGAACCCGTCTCCTTCCAGCAGGAGAAACCTAACGACAGCCCTGAACACAGGTCAGAGAACTGTGGTGTTAAACGGTCTGAGGAGCAGAAAGCACAAATCATCAAACAGATGAGTGTCCATCAGCTGGCTTCACAAGGTTTTGCTCTAAAAGGTGGACAAGCTCAGTGACACGGCTCTGAACCGGTCCGAACGGAAAGAAAAGAAAAGAAAAGAAAAGAAAAGAAAAGAAAAGAAAAGAAAAAGGGTCAATAAAAGCATAGAACTGCTCTGGTGTCAGGTTCTAGCAGAACCCAGATGTGTTCTTCCTCCTAAATGTCATGTGTCTATCTGCGGTACTGATGAAGTTCTGAGGCTCAGAAATGATGGAAAAAGTCCATTAAAGTGATCAATCTGGACCCTCCTCTGTGGACTTCAAGGACCTGGACCTCTGGAACATTCACAGTCTGAAGGTAGAACTCTGGTCAGTAGATAAAGGTTCTGCAGATACAGAACCAGGTGTTCTGAGGAGGTCTGGGTGGAGAGAAGTGTCCAGTGTGTCCAGTCTCACCAGTTCAGGATGGTTGGGCAGACCACAGTGAGTGCAGGCGTCCTCACTGGGAATCTCTTCTGATTTACAGGAGTCCTCCTCAGACCCGCTGCCTCCTTCGCTCTCCTCCTCGCCTCTCTTCCTGCCTCTGTCCTCCAACTCGCCGCCTTCGTTCAGTTTGCGTCTCTTTGCACGAATGTTGGACCATCGAGGGCGTCGGTGCCGCCGCTTACCCTGAAATACAGCAACAACATGAAGTCAGCACTGGGTTCATGTGTGAGTTCTGTCAGGATGCACATTTACAAAGTTACCCGTCGTTTCCTAATTTGTCCGACAGGTCCACATTTTCTGTCTTTCTTTGTAGTGGAGCTCTGCTCCTCTTCATCCTGCTCGTCCTCCTCTTCCTCCTCGTCCTCCTCTTCTTCCTTCCTTCTGGTCGGCTGAGCCGGTTTTCTTTGTGGTTTCTTTCTCTGGCTCTCAGCCACCTTCGAGCTCGGCCTGCAGGTTGGCAAAGCAGATGATCTTGAAGAAAAAAGGTGTAGATGAGGTGAATACATGGTGAGAATCAATCAAACTAGAGTGAAGCTACTACTGTGACGCTGAAAGCTGCTGCTGAGCCACAGTTCACTGAACATGGCAGCTTCGGAACCACGCTTCTATTTACACCCAAATACCTGCAGAACCCGAACCCTAAGAACTAGAATGTTGAATTCTTGGAAGGGTATCAGTGTTGTTGCTGAAAGCTGCTGCAGATTTAAACTTGAAAAGTCCTGCAGCCTAAAACTGGACATTGATTGCAGTTCTTTTACCCACTGAGCTGCAAACGCTGTAGAGGATTACAACTCCACATTCTGTCAAGGAAAAGATCCATTTAACTGTTATCCTACCCTTTACCGACGTCGACAGCTGTAACGTGTCTGATATCGTAGCTTTGGACCCGGTTTCTATCTGCAAGACCCGACTAAAGTTACAGCGCATCAACAACTAGGCAGTTCCTGGAGAGACTGTAGGTGGCTAACGGCTGCTGTAGCTACTGG